GTTCCAAATTTTCAAAATAGATGCCTGCACCATAAACACTTGTGCCAATACCAAGACCTAAACAGGTAACTGCCTTTGCTTTCCTCTCAGAGGAGCAGATTTATTTCTAGCTCATCTTTACCATGAAGATGTCATCCTGAGGGCCAGGCATAGGCTCTCCTTTTAGGCTCCCACCTGAGGCAGGCCCTGGGCTTTATCACCTCCCCCTAACATCCTAAGAAGGTTCAGCCCACAGCCTCAGTTTCCTCCACAGGCTCCTTTTTTCACGTAGGGTCTAGCCTCTGAGATTTCCTTATCTTTTTGCCACTTCCTTTGATGTTTAATTCCTGGTTTCTTAGAAACATTTTATCCAGGGTTCTTGATTGTTTTCAGCAGGAGAGGCAGTCAGGATATCTAGCCTACCAAACTACAAGGAAGAGAAGTTCTCCATACAAAGTTTTTTGTGTAAGTCTATAGGTAATTCTGAAATGGTTTCCTAATTAAGAGCCAAAACCCCTAGGAACACTGCTCACTGCAAGGTCTCCTGTTATCTTCCAGTCATTAGCTCCAGCTGTCTAGCTTACCCCACAGTCCAGTCCATCTGATACCAGCATCTGCCAGTGTCAACCCCCTCAGCATCCTGCCTCCCTCCTGATTACACAATGTCTCACACAAGCAGGAATGCACTGAGTGAATGAATTCAGACTTCCCATGGTCACTTACCGGGTGGGTTAAAGACAATGATATCATCTAAGAGCTTAGACATTTCCTGTTCTAAGACTGCTAAGGAGATTTTTCCATTTTGTTCCAGGGTGCTGAGAAATTGAACCATCTGATGAGTAAAAGCTCGGCATTTTGGAACTGCATCCTGACAAACAACAACAACAAAAAGGATCATTCAAATGAATCCAAGCAAAGAGCATTAACAGAGTATTCCCTGGGAGCATGGTACTGAATGCTTAGGAGGGAAGTGGGAAGGACATCAGGAAGCTACATGAAGACCTAATCCCAGGGGCTCAAGGGCCCCGTGTCTAAGGGTAGGGGAATCTGTGGTAACACCTTGACTGGGACCCTGTTCTCTCAAATTCTGGCAGAACACTCTTCCTTTTTTACTACATTAGTAACAACATTATCTAAATACTAATTACCTACCAGGAACTTTTCCAAATTATCCTCATTGTCTGTTTCAATCTTCATGACACCACTTTGAAACAAGGTTCTGTTTCCAATTCAGGGGAGAAAACTAAGGGGCTTGCCCTGCCAGACCTCAGCTTAGCCTCATGACACTCCCTATTACCTTTTGCTTTATCTTTTGTTTTGTTTTTCAGAGGTAGGGTCTTGTTTGTTACCCAGGCTGGAGTGTACAGGCATGATCACAGCTCACTGCAGCCTCCAACTCCTGGGCTCAAGCAATCCTCCCACTTAAGCCTCCTAAATAGCTGAGACTACCAACAAGAGCCACCGTGCCCAGCTCTCCCTGCTGTTCAGCTAACAATGACATTTAGATCATGAAACCAGCTGGGCTTGCTGCCAGCCCTCAATCCTTGTGACTTGTTGTCAATATGTAAAACTGCTAGTCAGTAAAGGCTTACTATAAATAAGAGAGAATCAAACTAAATGATCTGCGAGGCCAAGATATGAGTGCACAAGATGTTGATACATACTCTCCAACTTTCTCTGCTGAGCAGTCTCCAGGTTAAAGGCTCTCCTGTGTAACACTTATGCTACTCCCAGTCCCTAAGAAAATTCCCTCCCTTTTCTACCCTCTCAACTTACAAGATGCTTCTGGCTGTCAGTAGGAATGGCAAGGCCTGCAGACACTTTCAGGAGCTTCATGATTAATTCAGCAGAAGACTCCTTTGCCAAAATTATGGATGGTGGGTAATGACTGCTGAAATAACCTAGCACACTCTGGTATGACACGATATCCACGAGATGCCATGACAGTGAGCTTGTCTGTCCAAGGAGACTAAGTAAAGGTGAATCCTAAAAATGAAACACATGTTCCATTAGTTCCAGAACCTCCTTTTCCCCAGAAATGTTTCTTATTTGTCTGTGGACTAACCACTACAATGGTCTATGATAATTACAGGACAGTTAAGATCTTAGTCAGGAGTACTAGTTAAAGCAATAACCAACGTCTTGGCACAAACACATTCCTATTAAGATTAATAAGTATCTGGAAATCAATTTTTAAAGGAACACTCTGTTCTGGTGGTAGATGCCAATACTGACTTCAAGAAGCATATAGGAGACTGATTAAGGAATTCCTGAGACATAAAATAAAATTGACTCTAACTCAGTATGGCTCCCTTCATAAATTAGAATTAGATAATGAGCTATCCAAGAAAATTAGGCATCTAGTTGAAGGTATGCGTCATATGCCAAGGATCCATTCATAATGATAAAAGATGTCAGGGAAACAACTGAAAGACCACAGTGTAGTAGAAAGTGAGGAGCTGAGGAACCTTACAAGACTTTATGACAAGGGGGACAAACTTACTGCTTGGTCTACTAGCTGGACTTCCTTCCCTAATAAAATCATCATGAAAAGGAGGCAGACGATCATGCTCTGGGTTTCCGGGTGCGGACTGGGATTCCAGGCATCAGCAAGCACACTGACCCAATTGACTTCACAGAGTGTGGACCCCAAAAATAAGAAACAGCTCTTGGGGCTCCCTCGTTCCACCTATAAGGAAATGAATTAAAATCAAGGTTTTGCTTTTTGATGTCTATGTATCTCGAAAATGTATACAAACCAATACTTTTTTTTCTTTTTTGAGACGGAGACTCACGCTATCCCCCTGGGTAGAATCCCATGGCATCACAGCTCACAGCAACCTCCAACTCCTGGGCTCAAGCGAGTCTCCTGCCTCAGCCTCCCAAGTAGCTGGGACTACAGGCGCCCGCCACAACGCCTGGCCATTTTTTTGGTTGCAGCCATCATTGTTGTTTGGCGGGCCTGGGCTGGGGATTCAAACCCGCCACCTTAGGTGTATGTGGCTGGCGCCTTAGCCACTTGAGCCACAGGCACCGAGCCACAAACCAATACTTCTTAACATACTTTAATAAACACCTTTTCCTCAGATTATAAATGTCATTCATAATTCCACCTCCTAGAGATTTAGAATGAATATCTGTAATATCTTTCCTTCCACACTCAGTGGTATGTGCATTTTGAGCTCATCTGTTTGGATTTCATTTTCTATTCCAATAACTCTTGATTAACAGGAAAAAAATGACCTTCCCTAACCCCAACCAAGGAGGAGAATCACTACCACAGTGAGTCACTGTCACTTAATCGAGTTAAGTTTATCTGAATCCTTGGGTGTGCTAGCATAGGACAAAGTTGAGATGCACTAATCAGTAGTTCCCAAACATAAGTGCACATCAGAACCATCTGTAAGACCTCTGGGCCCACCCCTAGAGTTTTTAATTTCCCTGGCATGAGCTGGGAGGAAGAATGTGCAATTACTAAGGTGACACTGATGCTGCTGTCCCTAGGACCACACTTTGAGATCCAATAAACCAGTATACAGAATATTTATACTGTCTTTTTAAGGTAATGTTTTATTATCAAAATGTCTCTATATTATAGTATTTATAATTTGATGGCTGCATAATGCTTAAATTCTATATAAAATATATTAGAGATGGGAGGCAAATGTATTAATAAACTTCAAAGATGTTTTGATAAGCCTAACTCATTATTTCTAATTCGTTTAAAATAAAACACAGCTAGTTACAAATTTTTCCTTTCAAAATGAGATTAAATAGCTCTACTTTATTTATAAAATCATGGTCAATGAATATGGTGACAATTCAGTTCTTTCCATTACTGTTATTATATTATGCTAAGTGCCAATCTACTTCCCTTTTATTTTTATTATTTGGGGGTTTTTGTTTATTTGTTTGTTTATTTTTTTGAAATAGTGTCTCACTCTGTCACCCTGGGTAGAGTGCCACAGCAACCTCACACTTTTGGGCTTGAATAATCCTCTTGCCTAAGACTCCCAAATACCTGGGACGACAGGTGCCTGCCACAATGCCCAGTTAGTTTTTCTATTTTTAGTAGATATGGGGTCTCACTTTTGCTCAGGCTGGTATCAAACTCCTAAGCTCCAACAATTCACCTGCCTCAGCCTCCTACAATGCTAAGATTACAGGTGTGAGCCACCATGCCCAGCCTCCTCCTCCCTTTTAGAAAATAATTCTTCATCTTTCTGTGTAATCTGTTTTCTATCCTTGCCCTCAACCTGACCCCCTCCCCCTAAAAAACCCCATAAACTTTATTACTCCAACAAGATGACCCAAAGAATTAAAAGATCCCCAGGTTGTTGGTAGGTCAGAGGCATCTATCATAGAATAGGGCCCCTAGAGACAGAATCTACAGCAGGGGTCCTCAAGCTTTTTAAACAGGGGGCCAGTTCACTGTCCCTCAGGCCATTGGAGGGCCAGACTGTGGGCCCCAGGACGAGTCAGCTGCTAAGCAGGACAGGCAGCGGCGGCAAAAACACCCAGCAGGCTGGATAAATGTCCTAGGTGGGCCACATGTGCCCTGCAGGCTATAGTTTGAGGATGCCTGGTCTATAGCAACCCTTAAAGGTCTGTGCTACCGCTTACTCTGACAGCTTCCTCTCAGTGTTCACAATGGTAATAAGTATTTGCTCAATGCCAGTCTCTTATATACTAAGCTTAGCTATAAAAACATTCTAGTTTCTTCTGGTTTTTTTTTTTGTTTGTTTTTTGAGACAGAGTCTCACTTTGTTGCCCTTTGGTAGAGTGCCATGGCATCACAGCTCACAGCAACCTCAAACTCTTGGGCTCAAGTGATTCTTTTGCCTCAGTTTCCCAAGTAGCTGGGACTACAGGCACCTGACACAACACCCAGATAGTTTTTCTATTTTTAATAGTAGAGATGGGGTCTCGCTCTTGCTCAGGCTGTTCTCTAACTCCTGAGCTCAAGCAATCCACCCACCTTGGCTTCCCAGAGTGCTAGAATTATAGGAATGAGCCACCA